TAGACTGAGTAGATCACTTATTTTTTTCCCCACACAGTGTGGTCCAATCTGAAAAACAGGAACTTTTTTAGGCTGGAAGTTTAAGAGCATACGGCAAGCAACTCACAAAAGTAACTGCCATGGGTGGGTTTGATTAGACACATCAAACCTGTTTATCAAAAAGCAAAGTTTTCCAGAGAACTCTTACATCATCCATGAAACACAAAGACATTTTTGTAAAAAATATGAAGTCAGGCACAGGTGCTATACAATCTTGCTATCTGTGCATTTAACAATTATTTCATTGCAGGGAAAATAAAAAAAGTTACCAAGGAAAGTATTTGGGGGTACAGTGGATCCTGTGTATATCATGTTGCCTGACTCTGGTCTAATTCTTTATATAGGTAATGGACATGTACCAATGTAACTCTGTGAAGCTATATTGTTTAGCTTCATGAAATATGGGTGTTGGCAGTAATCATGCGAGAAACCACTAGCAAAGTTTGTGTACCATCAGACTTTGCCTTACAACTGTTCGGATTACAAATAAGGTTGTAGTTTCTTTACATCACATTAAGCAGCTAATGTTTCCTTTGGAAATTAACAGTGGATAAAGTCACAGTGATGAAATACACCCAAAATGGGTTTATCCCCATAATAGAAATAGTGGGACTTCCCAAACAGGCAGAGTTTGCTTGTGTGATTCCAGATGAACTGAGTCAGTTTCAGCCACAAAGAACAATTTGCATACGGTTCCTTTTCATTTTGAGGCCTGCTGGCAGATGGATGACTGTGAGGAAAATCAAATCCATCCCCAGTTTTCACACTTACACTTCACCCATTTGTAAATGGGCCTGATGTGGAAGGGTCCTGGGTCCTACTGGATCAGAGTTCAGAAAATATTGATCATTTATTATGGTAGTAAAGTCATTGTATTCTATGCCTAGTTACTAAAAACAAAGCCACCAATAGTATTTATAACTACTGCAACCCACCTCTGATGTTTTATAGATCTTATGCTTGGGAGGTAAGCAAAGTTTACCCCAAACTAATCATTTATCCAACTCACTCTCTTATATCCCAGTGACTTAAAAATCTATGCATTTTCTCATTTAAACAAATATAAACAATTGGCAGATGATATAGGGCGTGAGAACTGACTCAACTTTGACTCTGATCCTGTTGAATAAACATGACAAGATAGTATACAGTGAGGCTTCTCAGACTGTGGATTATGATCTACTGAGTGGCCATAAGCAAATCAAGGGGTTACACATTTTGCAGACTTAAGCGTGAAGAGGTGGGTCACTGCTAAAACCTGGGGCCACTCTGACTGGCCTTGCCCAGACAATGTGGAAGTGTATCTGGTAGGATTCTGGCACAATTTTGTAGGGATCTTATCCTGGAGAACTATCTGATGAAAAGAAAAAACACCTGAGGCTGGATCGCTGGTGGGGTGGGAGAAGGACTGGAGCATGGTCTTGTAGGGGTCCCAAACAGTCTTGCAGCATTAAGTGGGTGACGAAGGCATGCTTTTTGCTGGAACATTTCCAGCTTTTGGTGTGGAAGGCCTGAATTGGGAGAATTAATTGGAAAACTAGTACATTCTAGTACGCTTTATTTTTGAATCATAATCATCTGGTTTGGGTGCCATCATGATATCTAGGTGAGATTTAACTAGTTAGGACAGGGCTTTCAGTTGTCATCCTTCTGACTTGTAAGCCTTATTCCATGAAGTAATTTACAATGATGTGGAATTAGCTGAGTACAAAAAAGGCGTATTGCCAGCACCAGCGATGTGTTCCAACTACCTTCTTGACAAGCATCAACTATCTTATGCAAATTCTTCAGAATTATTTTCAGTATCCAGGCAACTTAGAGAGCCACTGCAAAAATTAAAGCACAATGTGCCAAACTGGTAGTTTGTTTCACTTCCCTTGTTCTATACAGTCTATATGGCCAAAGAGGAAGAATACAAAAGTAAGATTCAAATAGGAAAGGATTTATGGATAAGAAGTCGGCAAAACTAGTCCTTTTGGACATCCAAGTGTCATCTGTCTGTTGCAATGCAGCCAGTGCTGACCAGGCTGGTATGTTTAAAAATAATGAGAAAAGATATGATCAAGAAAGTAAAATAGGAATAGGTAGGAATCAACATTCAAGCCCAAAGACCACCTGCGGTAAGCCCATGCCAGGAATATGGAATACAGCCTAGTTTTTGTAGTAAGGAAATAGAAGAGTAAAGAACCACCAAGGATTATTCCCCTCCCCTCCATCAAAGTAGCTTGGATGTAGCACATTTGCTACAAGGAAAATAAAGAATCAGCTGGCGCTTTCTAGGAACATTCCTAGAAATGGGAAACTTCTAGAAATAAAGCTGAGAATACATCTGCTGAGATCAATGGTAAAGTCTGACCGAAGACCGCAGTGAGATTAAAAAATGTATTTTGATATGGTTGGCATCTTCTTGAGCTAAGCATGCAAAGGCACTTCCTCCGCAGTTATTTATTTATTTTAAACAAAATTATCCAAAGAAGAAATGGAATGCTGTACTTGAAGCCACCATTTTCAGAGGACAAACCTAAATTTAAAACCTCATACTTTGCCACTTTAAAGAATGGGCAGGTACAAGAATAACTACTAGTTCGTTCACTTTTGAATAAGTTGAAGGTAAGCTTTTGTGATCCAGGTTACATTCATAAATATTGTTCTTGAAATCTACAAAAGAGCCACAAGTGGATATTTCCCATTTGGATTTATTTAGGACAACCAGTTCAGAGATGTCTAAGGAGGTGAGGTGGCAGGAACACCGAACTCTGACAGCTCCACAGAGTCCCCATGCCTACAATGTTCCCTAATTCACCACAATGAAGAAACACTTGTGAATTGCATACACTAGAGATAGAAAATCTCTGGAGGAATACACACTCTCAAATCTCAAGACATTTGCTAAAACAAGAGAGAACAATGGCTGAAATATGCCTACTGATTCCAGTCAACCCTAAATCCTTTCCTATTTGGAGATTATTGTGAGTCAAATCACACTCAAATGAGAAACTCCATCCCTACAGATTCTGGGTTCTGTATGTTTTTTTTTCTTTTTTTTTCCGAGCTCAGGGAATTTCTCCACAAAGAGCATAATGCCATTCTTTTCCTAATTACTTTATTTGGCTAAAGAAATTCAGAGTAAAGTTCTTTTTGAGAGTTGCTGAAAATTCTTGCCTGGTTCATTCATGGATTATTATTTTTTTAAAAAAAGATGCAACATTTAAGAACCAACAGTCTGTAGTGTCTTTTAAGATTTCTCATAGCTGCTACATGAAAGTGTGGTAGTTTTAGAACAACAAAAAGATACTTACACAAAAGCTGCCAGGGCTGTGAGCACAAAGCACATGGCCCGTTAAAAGTTAAATGCAAGGAAGTCCTACCAAAAGCAGTGGAATGTCACATTCCACTGAAGGAATTCCTTTTGATATCTCTGGATTGTTTCCATTAGCACTGTGCTTAATGTTCCCTTGTGACACTTCACACACTATTATTCTATACAGGGGGAAAGGAAGTGGTTCCAGGGCTAGCGGAGAGACAGAATGCCCGTGAGTTCTAGAGCTTGAAGGAGATGAGAAGACACCACAAGGAGAAACCATATCGAATCCCATATTGGTCACAGAGCTCTAGAGATAACCTTGGTTCAGACATTCACTCTGGATTATTTCTTAAGCTATTGTGAAGATCACTCTGAGCACTTTATACATCGGCACAATAACTTTAATAAATAAAAATATAGCATTCCGACTTTACATGAAGAAATAACCATGGAAAGACTGCAGCAATGCTCTTATTTAATAGAGACCCCAAGTCATCCTGTAGAGCCACCATTTTCTACTTTCTGACAAGCAAAGTTCTTCACAAATGTGAGGGTTGCCATTAAGGAAAAGTATATTGGTAGAAGGAAAAATGGCCAGTGAACGCGGGAAAAATAACGGCAAGATCTGAAGAAGTCTGGCTGGATATTGTCCCTATTATGCATTCATCCAGAATAGTTTGTGGATTGAAAAGAATGGAGAGAGACAACTGAGTAACAAACACAACCCAACGTCCTTATAATGCCAACGCTGCTTCTCTCGACCCCTGAAAATCTAAGGATTGTCCAATGTTACACATTTTTAGAAATGTAGCTACCACTAGCTGCAATTTAGAAAAGTCTTATATGTTGTCCTCTCCTTGAGATGGGGACAGGGCAGCAATCGCAAGAAAAACTCCACACCAGTGTCACCAAAATGACTCAGTGGTATGTCCTCTCTACATTCCTAAATTGCAAATACGAATAGTCCCTAGTGCAGATCAGAGAACAGGATTCGTGGTCAGATGTACTGCCCACACAAAAGCAATTTGCCTAATGAAATCTCATTGTGCTGTTCTGCTCCGAAGAGCAAGCGGTTCATTTTTATCAAGTTATGAGTACTAAGCTACAATAAATAAACAAATACATTACCGAATAATTCAGGTTTGTTTGTTTTTTGTTTGCAGTCACATTTATATTTAAAAAGTCATCACCCTCAAATAGGAGCGATATTTTAATACCCTAAATATAAAGAACCCAAAGTAACATTTTTATTATCTTGCACAAGCCCGACAATAAAATAAGAAGTTGTAAGTTAGAGAGCCCAGCATAAATCAAGACATGGGCTTGTACTTTGTACTTTATTCATGTGGACGTGGATATATATATATATATCTGTGTGGATTATTTTAAAATCTGGGTATTTTCTATCAAAGGACCATTCTATTTTTTCTTTTTTATAAAAGTTTACTTTTTTTACACAAACTGTTTTTGTGCAATGGCCACAGCCAAGGGAGATTTACAGAAAAACACCAATGGGGGAAAAAAAATCAAAATATTAACCACAGTCTTCCCCCTTACCTCCACTGCTGAGAGAGAGAGAAAAAAAAGAACGCTTGCAGGGAATCCAATTAAAATAGAATGCATTTGAAATCAAGAGCGATTCAGTCCTAAAATAAATTTAAACAGGTACTGTTTCCATGACGGGAGATTTGATACACTCTTCGTGTAGTCTGCTCTTTTCTGAAAGGACGAGTGAATTCTCGGTGGGATGCTCCGGGAGGTGCGTGCCACCATTCAAAGTAGATACAAATCCATCTTGCGAAGGACTTTTCAAGTATGAAGGAAAATCCACTTGGGAATGCCTTGGCCGATGTTCCGCATATAAACTGCTACATGGAACGACGTTATCGCTTTCTGACGAAGAGCAGCAAACGATGACCGACGGGTTTGAAGAAGGATACAGGGAGCTGCCATAATTTTCCTCTGAGGGCCGCGTGTAGTCCACAAACTGTTCTGAAGTTGGGTTATAAGGCACCAGAGAAAGATTCCCGTTCTTAACAGTCTCTCTTTCCGAGTAAGTGTCCCGAATCTGGTTAGGAGTGCCAGGGCCATGATTCTCTATTTGGTAATACAAGGATGTGGAGCTTGGGTAGTAGGAAAGTGCCTTTGGCTGATTTTCATGCATGGCAGTGCTGTCTGAATAGCAAAGGACAGAAGGAAGGGCCTGACCTGCATCAGCATGAGCACCCAAGCCTTCCAGACATTCATCTAGTTTTTCTTCTTCTTCTTCCTCCTCCTCTTCTTCCTCCTCCTCCTCCTCCTCATCGTCGTCGTCCTCCTCCTCATCTTCATCTGTTTCACTGGGCGCTAAACTCTGTGTGCTGGAATCTGTAACTCCACTACAAAAGCTACTTGCGTCTTCCTCCTCCTCCTCTTCCTCCTCGTCCTCTTCCTCTTCTTCTTCCTCTCCAGGGCAATCCAAGTCACCTGCCGACTGCAAATGCATCACTGCAGCCCTGGGTTCAGCCTCTAATTCAAAGTTCTCTGGGACTGAAAATTCCAGGGGGTGGGAGGTGGGACCCATCGCACTGCTGTGAGCGTTTAGCTCAGCGTGGCAGCCGTTCAGCGCGGGGACTTGCTGCTCTCTGTTTTTCTCCAATTCAAGTTTCATTATAGTGTGCAAAAAGTGAGTCCGAACCCTGATGGGATTAAATTCAATTCTGCCAGCTGTATTGCTGCATCCTTCTTTAGTGCAACCACACGGAAAAGACATACGATCCACCTGACGGGGAGGGGGGGGGAGAGAAAGAATGATGGATTAGCTGTTTGATTGGGCGCTATCAACGCTAACGTGCTAGAAACTGTTCTAACCAAACAAAAAACTCCATCAAAAGAAAATAGCCCCGGAAGTCTCATTGAGGATTGATATAGGAAATAAATTAATTACCTGAAATAAAAACTGCTTTTACAACATTTCTTTCGGGCAGAAAGAAATCCAGATAAGAGATGTTGGAAAGGGAGACCTGTCTGGCTTTGCAAACTGCACTAAGCTCTGGTTTTTGGTTTTTTGGTTTAAATGGCGCTACATTTCACACTTCCATTAGAAATTATGATTTATAAATGAGAATGGCTTGCACGCCTCACACTAAGCCAAAAACACCCAAACCACATTATGGCTCCCTGCAGACGGTGAATCCAGTTACCGAAGACAAGGTGGCTGTGAAACAAATGACAGCTTGCTCTGCTTAAGGAATGACAAATGTGCCGTGGGACCTCCTGTCCCTTTGTTTTGCTCTAGCATCACTACCCACCCACCCTCCTCACTCTGCTGGTTTAATGGCTTCTAACGGTTATGCCAACATTTAGGATTAATCCAGGTGACTGCTAAATTGCAGAAGAAGGTTTTTTTTTCAGATATTCAGGCTGATGGGGCCATTTCAGTTAACTGTATAAAATATATATACATTCGTGGATGGGATGAGGTTACGCTCCAGAAGTTAGGGAAGTGGGAATCTCACTTGCTGCTCTCCACTTTTCTTACATTTGATTAGCAGGGATGAATTTGAATATTTCACTCCAAACAGATCTTGAAGCGGTATAAACAGCCTCATAGGAAATCTCGTTACGAGTGGTTGTCTTTTTTTTTTTTAGCATTAGTATAAAGGCAGGGAGGAACCTTTAATCTTTTTTTAAACCTGGAAACAGAATGGAACTCTTCTCCAGAAAGCTTCTATTCCATCAGCACTTCCTGGATTGCCCATGTGATCACAGCACTTTCCAGTCACGTTGATAATCCAGGACGCAGCACAGCTGAAAAGTATGACAGGAGAACCCTAGCCCTAATGCTAATAGAAAAGGGGCTCTAAACCTTTAAGTTAACCTTCTCCAACGTGCTGCCCTTAAGTTGGGATGGCACATTACTGTGCTTATGGGAATTCTGAGACTTTTAGACATAATATACCAGAAGATCACCCAGTTGAAGAAAACAGCTGTGCAGGGGTAGGCAACCTTGGCTCTTTTATGACTCGTGGACTTCGACTCCCAGAATTCCTGAGCCAGCATGGCTCAGTTTGGAAATCTCTCCCTTTCCCCTCAGCACGGCTGGCTCAGGAATTCTGGGAGTTGAAGTCCACGAGTCATAAAAGAGCCAAGGTTGCCTACCCCTGAAGGCTGATCCAAAACCAAAGCCTGGGCTACCTGTTTTTTTATGGCTATGCTATTTCTTCGTTATTGTACTTTGCCAAGTACTCCTAAAGAAATGCATTTTATAGCTGCCCACAGAATCCATATTTCTCCAGATTATGCCGAATTACTCTTTGGATCCCTCAATGGTGGACATGCTTGCTTGCAACTGTTGGGATCTGTGTTATAGCAACATGTGGAGGGGCAATTGTCTCACCTGTCTCCTTATACTTCAACGACAGATGAAACTTCCTGTAGCCGGGAAAGAAGGGCAGTGCCTCTCTTTAGAGCACTTAAATGAGTGTGAATGGGCAAGATATCTTTCCTTTTTTTGAAAATAAAACACTTGGAACCTCCCTTTGGTGTAGAATACCTCTCACCTGGCATTTTATGCCTGCAAGGCAGCAAGTGCAAGTTTCCGGGTCACAGAAGATCCGACAATCGCAACCACAGTCCTCTCTGGAAAGACGGATGGCTCGCAGCTCATGTTTTTCTTCCACATCAATCTTCTTGACTCCGGAGGCTCGTAGGAGTGCCCTTCGTTTCTTTGTCGGCAGAGGTTGCAGAAAGAAGTACTCGTCTACTTCAGTGTTGTCCAGATCTATATCATCATCAGAAATGTCATCCAGCGTTAAAGTGTTCGCTTCCTCGGATTCCACAGTGCCATTATTAGTCATCTATAGTAACATTAAAAGATGCGTCACAGCTCCACTGAGCAGAATGTTCAAAGGAAACAATTTAAGTAGTATAAGCTTTCCTGTGCATGAGTGTGAAATTGATTTATGAGGACCACACCGTCTTTAAATATCTCTGCTTGTTTTCATGGCTCTTATTATTAAGTGAACAACTGAAGTTGCTTTGAAGCATTTATAAGCTTATACCATAGACCAGAGGTAGGCAACCTTGGCTCTTTTATGATTCGTGGACTTCAACTCCCAGAATTCCTGAGCCAGCCATGCTGGCTCAGGAATTCTGGGAGTTCAAGTCCACGAGTCATAAAAGAGCCAAGGTTGCCTACCCTTGCCATAGAACAAGCTTTGGTAACCAAAAGAAATCCTCATTGTAACAGTTCTGTTTAGCACAGTGGTTCTCAACCTGTGGGTCGGGACCCCATTTGGGGTCAATCGACCATTTCATGGGGGTCGCCAAGCAAGGCTGTCCGCCATTTTTTTTGTCTGTCATTTTTTTCCCCTTTTCCGGCGGGTGCCTTACCTCCCTTGGGCTGGGCCAGCTGGTGGTCGGCCTGCTCCGTCTCTGCCGCTTGCCAGCTACGCCTCGGCCGGCGCAGGGGGCGCTCCCGGGCAGGGAAAGTCCTCGACTTACGACCGGTTGGGTAGTCCTCGACTTACGCCGGTTTAGTCCTCGACTTATGACCGGTTTAGTCCTCGACTTACGACCGGTTTAGTCCTCGACTTACGACCGGTTGGGGTCGCGGCATTAAAAAGGTTGAGAACCACTGGTTTAGCAGATCCCAGATGCATTGAATAACATCTTTCTGTGAACTGTATGCTCCGGTGTTTGTGCAAAGTCCTATTTGCCATATTGCACATACATAAAATACATATGGGTAACATCCTATTCCTATGTTACATATGCGGAGAGTGTATAAAATACTGTTTTAAAGTATGCATTTTCCTCCCAGTAGTCTTTTGAATCAAGGGTTTAGATAGACAATGTTTCTCAAACTTGGCAATTTCTAAGGTATGTGGTCTTCAACTCCTAGAATTCCCCAGTCCAATATGCTGGCTGGCGAATTCTGCGGATTGAAATCTACATATCTGAAAGTTGCCAAGTTTGAGAAACATTGGTTTAGGATAACACATAATCACCTTTTATTTTTATGGTTGCTCTTTCTACTACTGTGTCCCATCAACCTTATTCTGGGGAATGTCACTATGTTTTGAATGTGCATGTACAAATGGTTCAGGGCTTACACCAGGGGTAGTCAACCTTGTCTCTTTTATGACTCATGGACTTCAACTCCCAGAATTCCTGAGCCAGCACAGCTGGCTCAGGAATTCTGGGAGTTGAAGTCCACGAGTCATAAAAGAGCCAAGGTTGACTACCCCTGGCTTACACTGTGAAGCTCCACTGCCATCTTGCTGATTTTGACCATCCCTTGCAGGCGCCACTAGAATACCCTCCAGGACTGGGAAACGGTTCAGAAAGAGGCTCTGCAAAATCCCTTAGCATGGGCAAAGCACGCCTTTTTGCAGTTGTCCTTTTTGCAAAGCTTGCGTAGCTGCTTTGAAATATGTCCCTCTGCCCGGGAGTGGATGCCCAGTCATTTCTCTTTGCTGGTAGTCGAGGAGAAACTAGCTTTGTGCATCCCTTACTAAGGACAGTTTGGAAGCAGCTATGTCAGCGTTGTCAAGGAAACACTGCTCTAATACTTTAAAGAGAAACGTTTTCTTATACGTTTCGTTATATATTTACAAAGCATCTGTTTCAAATATTTTACACAGCCCCGGTTGCTATTTGCATAGGACATCCTTTAAAAAAAGGGGGGGGGGAATGTATCAAGAAGCTTGTATGCAGCAATCAACGATACATATCCAGGTAAACAATATCAGACCTATCACTGGCAGATGTGTTCAGTAGAGAGAATTACTTTCTAGAGAAGCAGAATAAGCTCCTGTATAAAGATGTGGGTTTCAGCGTTTTGTGAAACTGGATATCACACAGAGTAAGCACAGTTGGCTGTCGCAATCTTCCCAGCAGCCCATGACACGATTCAAAGAGAAAGGGGGTAAAAAAAAAAAAAATCTTCCCGAATATCAGTTCAAAATCTCTTTTGTGCAGAACAATCCACACCTAGCAGCTGGCTTAACTATATTTGCATCCTGATCAAAGCTGGAACTTTGATGGGGTGGAACAAATTGTCACCGTATCTGCATAGCAGGAAGGAAACGATCATCTTAAAGAGCCCAGGTGGAGCCTATTAAAACCTGATGAGTTAATATGAGAGACAGGGTCAATGCCAGCTTGTTGGAAGCAACTGAACTGCAGCCATCTTAGAAGTGAAGATGCAACCTTGCCAAGAATATTAACTGCCAATCCCACCGTTAATGTTTTGGCTCTGTATGTGTGTGTGTGTGTGTGTGTGTGTGTGTGTGTGTGTGTGTGTGTGTAGGGGGGAAAGGATCCCTTTTCTTTTTTCTTTTTACCTTGAGTTTTAAGGAGTTCAGCTTTTCTTCCCTGAGATGCTCTCTCAACATCTCTCGATGAAGCCGTTCTTGCTCCATTGCAAACTCCCCAAGAGTGTATTGGCGTACACTGTTGTGACGAGTGGACATGCCCAAAGTGCTGCCTCCTTGGCTGGGGACACTTGTGAAACCTTGCCTCCTGGTAAAGTAGTATACCGTAACACAATTAAAATGAACATTTTTTGTCCTCTTCCTTTTCTCACTCTTCAGAATTGAGGATGCTGGAACGGAAACAAATGACAAGTTTGAATCAAGCCAGGCTTATCCATGTCGCAAAAACCCTTAAGGCTGCAATCCACTAGGCCAGTGATGGCGAACCTTTTAGAGACCGAGTGCCCAGACTGCAACCCGAAACCCACTTATGTATCGTCAGGTGCCGGGTGGGCGTGGCCCATTGGGTGGGCGTGGCTGCAGTGGTAACGGCAGACTGGGTGGGACTAAAAAGTTCAATCAATCAATTCCAACTTCGCGAGATCTTTTTTTTTCCCACGAGAAGTTGAAATTGATTGATTGATTGATCGAACCTTTTTTTTTTTGCACACGGCGGTGGAGGTCTAAAGTGAAAAGGTTTTATAAAACCCAGCTGAAGGCCTAGGACTGGGGCGACGGCGTGCGTGCCCACAGAGAAGGCTCTGTGTGCCACCTGTGGCACGCTTACCATAGGTTCGCCACCAAGGCACTAGGCTAAAATGGATGGGGTGGGAAGAGGGTGCAACAGAAGAGGGCAGTGATACTGCAACACAAAACCCTGCCCCTTTTGTACTTGTGGCGCAAAGATGCATGTTAAGTACCTAAGAGGTGGAACTTGTGTCGTAACAGCACAACCCAGAATCTCTGGCTTGCTCCAGAAGCCTCTGGAAGCACGTCTAAATGTTTCAGGGAAAATGCCAGACAGAGAAGCTCTTTGCTTGGCTACCTTCTTTAATCACTTGTCCAGAGCTGCAGCTATCTTACTGTGCCTCCTAAAAGCAGCATACAAGCTTAATTCAGCATGCCGTGTTCATTTTTAATGAGTCAAAATATGTCAGCCTTCCTAGGTAGACCAGACAGGAAACATAACCAGATGATCTTATTTCTACCTGATTGTAAAACTACGTAAGCAGAATCCGGCAAGCCTGAAAGTACAAATCTGCCACCGTCCCCTTTTACAGCTGAAGAAACAAGGGAGGGTCCCTTCTGAGCCTCTTGCTCTGCCTGCAGTCCAGCTGGGGGACATGCTCTGTGTTATCTGATCGTCCCTTAAGAGTTTCTTGGTCCATTCTCCAAGATCTTTCCCACCTACCATTACTGATAGTGTCCGTCAATTAGCGAGTTAGGTTAGTGGATTAAAACAGTGGTGACGTAGTTGCTGTATTCTTACGTCAGACTGAAACAAGTGAATCAAGTGAAATGGAGACATGTCAGGAGGGAGGGGTGAGGGGTGAGGTGCAGTTTTCCTCTTGGTCCACAGCTCCTTTTGTCCCCCCTCGCCTCAGAAAAAAATGGCAGACAGTTTTGCAGTCCAGCTGAGGGAAGAGGAGTGATTTCCAAAGTCTCTGCCCCCTTCCCACAAGCCTTGTCAAAGGGGAAGCTTGCAAGAAGTTGGAACTCGTTCCTGCTCTCCTTGATTCTTTCGTCTGCCCGGGGTCATTCTGCTTCTCCATTTAGGTAAGCAAGTATCTCTAAAAGAACGACCAAATGCGTCACAGTTGCCTCAGTTCTTAATACAATTTTCACATGCTCAATGTTTCATACAAAGTTACTCTAATAGAGGTATGGATAAACAACTTTTTTTTTTTTGTTTACCATCAAATCCAGCTCTTTTATGCTTATTTGTGAAATAAGAATAATGTTGTTGATTTGGCAACGTTTTCAAGATAGGGCTGCATAAATCATTAATATCCTCCTCCTCATCCAAAAATCTCAGAACTTCTTTAATCCTGTAAATTTTTGTCGATTTAATCTCTGGATCTTTCGAGATCTTATATGAGAATGACTAAATCATCTTGTTAGATTTTCTACTGCACCACAGTTTGGCATTCTCATTAGACTGCAAAGAGAAGATTCAGCGCAATTGTTATATCAAAAATAAATGAATCAGTTAGGGTTACAATATTTCCAAACTTCTCTTACAAATGGGTGTTCCTTCCTTTCTTTAAGAAATTAAAAAGCAGTCTAAGTAACATGCATAAATTTTGAAACAGTGCCCCCTACTTTTTAAAAATCTCCATTTAAAGTTTGTCTGTTTATACCACTGCCCAGCTATGCCTCTTATAGAAATCTACATAGAAACATAAGCAGCATTTAGCCTATAATGAAAAATATGAACTGCCAGTTGCAAAAGCTGCTCGACTCTTCTGCCTGATGCAGGGTGGGGGGTGGGGGTGGCAAAACAACATTGGGGGTGTAAGATGATAAATCGTATTTATGTAATTCAGGCATGACAGTTGCACAGGTATGATGGGAGAAATGTAATAGTGAAGAGGGAGGAACTAAAAGGATCGTAAAACATGCTAACAGCCTTTATAGTATGAAGCTATATATTTTAACAACCATAGCCAGAAGCACGAAGCTAGTTAAAACAGCTTCAGGAAATTAAGTCCTTTAGCTTTGCAGTGTGTTTTTCCATCAATCAGGAATGCTAGAGGACTTTTAAACTTAGGTTTCAGATGCTTATTAGATCTTTATTGTCAATGGAGAAACAGTTTCATAACCAGAATGAAATCAATTCTATTTTTTAAAAAATGAGAGAGAACAATGCATCAAAATTACTTTTCATATTGTGCTCTAGGTGAAGGTTTCATTCTCCAAGAAGCATTTATAATTTCTACTACCCAGCTGACTAATCTATTTCTTAGATCCAGTGGTGTACCTCTTAGGCACCAAGCTTGAAATCAAGAGACTGCGTTCTAGTCCTACCTTAAGCATAAAACACAGCTGGATGATCATCGCCCAGTTATTCTTTCTCAAGCTTAGGAAGGAGGCAGTGGCAAACCACTTCTAAAAACTATGCCAAGGAAACTACAGGGACTAGTCCAAGCAACACCATGGATCAAGATTGAGACAAAATCATGCACACAAATCTGTAACGTTTTTTTTTACAAATCAGAAAAAATAACAAATTCGTTTTTCTTCTTAATAATAATAATAGTAGTAAAGTTGGAAGGGACCTTGGAGGTCATTTAGTCCAACCCCCTGCTCAGGCAGGAAACCCTATACCATTTCGGACAAATGGCTGTCCAGTCTCTTCTTAAAAACTTCCAGTGTTGGCGCATTCACCGCTTCTGGAGGCAGGTTGTTCCACTGGTTAATTGTTCTAACTGTCAGGAAGTTTCTCCTTAGTTCTAGGTTGCTTCTCTCCTTGATCAGTTTCCATCCGTTGCTTCTTGTCTGCCTTTAGGGGCTTTGGAAAATAGCTTGACTCCCTCTTCTTTGTGGCAGCCCCTGAGATATTGGAACACTGCTATCATGTCCCCCCTCGTCCTTCTCTTCATTAAACTAGACATACCCAGTTCCAGCAGCCATTCCTTATATGCTTTAGCCTCCAGACCTCTAATACTCTTTCTAGAGTCTCAACATCTTTTTTACATCACTGTGACCAAATTCTTCAATCCATTTGACCACAGATTCATGCTAATCGGGTTGAAATTAAGCTATCAAAACTAAGCAAACTTTTTTCCGTGAATCTACTCTTAGTTTAGACTCCACGATGAAGTAGTTTCAAGTGATTTGATCAGTAAAATCGATCAAAGAAAGATGCTGACAGTATAAGGAAGAGTACTACTTCTCTAGAAAATTAATATCAAAAAGGAGAGGTTGCCCTATTACTTTTAGACTTTCAATGCACCTAAGGCTCTGAAATTTTCTAAAGAAACCCAAAACACTTTCCCGAGACATCATCCTAATGTAATATAATCTTTTCCTGCTACAGGAAAAGCAGTGAAGAAAAAGGAGCTCTCATATTACTTTTTAATCTAATTGAAGCTAAAGCTCTGGTCTTTTGTGAACTAAAATACTTTCCTAAGCCATACAATTCTTACAATGCAATCTTTTCCTATTCCAGGAAATAGATTTTTGTTTTCAATATATGGGCTTCATTTATATCTCCAAATAGCACGTTCCATTAGCTTCATAAATAATTCAGTCCAATGTCACAGAAGTTCTATATTATTTTATAACTATTGTTGCAATGTTTCTGCTCTGAACTGTAACCTTGAGCATTGTGTGGCATTTTCACCCCAACTCAGCAAGGTCAGTCATGGGGAAAAGGTGGACTTCTGTGTATATACAATGTCAATCTGCATTGCTTTGAAATATGAGAGTATGAAAACACATTATTATTTTTTTTTGCAAGCCCTGACTTTTATAATATAAAGGCTTTGTATGTACTAAAACAGTGGCCCCTAGGGACCGCTGTTTTGGGCACCAGGGACCGGTTCCGTGGAGAGAGGTTTTTCCGTGGACAGGAGGGGATGTGGTTTCGCAGGCTGCCTGCATCCCGCGGATGGTGCTTTGCTTGTTTGCGTGGGCCGGTTTCTGTCACGCCACAGACCGGTGCTGGTCCACAGACCAGGAGTTGGGGACCCCTGTACTAAAACACATTCAAAATTCTTGCAAATTACAAAATCTGGTGGAAGGGCAGGATTCACACATTCATGTAGTGACATATAGCACACGTTGGACCACAATAATGTCCCAATTTCAGGTAGCCAGATGCAAAAGAGAATGGAATTCCTGCAGCATTAACATTTGTGCCTCAGCAAGAAATGTAACAGGTATTCCCTGTCATGGAAGCAACATCAGCTGTAACCTCTTTCACACAGCTATCAAAATCCCAGAAGTTCTGTCCTGTTTTGCAAACGCTCTTTGCAAACTTGGTCATAAAAGCACAATATTGAAAAGAAGCACTCTCTGTCTTGGCAAAGTTGGACAATGGAACCCAAATCCATCACTGAGCATACTTGCCAAAATATACACACACACCCAAAGGAGTGCCAGCTTTCAATTTCCCTGAAACACTTCATTAAGCTAAGGAGCCAGAGATTGCATGTAGGAGTCAGTCTGAAAATGGAGACTGCAAATGGAGGTCAATTAATATTTATGGTAAAAAATATTGGGAGAAAATAGAGATGAAGATCTTCATGAAATTTCCTTCCCAAGTCATTGCATACTTTATATTTGTCACAGATGAGCCAACAACCTAGCTTTGCATCAAGAAAAAAATCTAGACCTCCCCTTTTTT